CTGCACGTCTCATTGGACAAATGAGTGAGGACATGTGAAACTTTTGCTGTGACTCCTAGCCCAGGGCTGCTTGCATTCCCCTAACCCAAGCAGAGTGTGCAGCCCACATGCCACTTTCTCGAAACCGGCTCTTTGTCCTCTTTTGCTGACTCCCAGACCGTCCTGGGCAGAGCACAGCAGCCCCAGCCCCCACTATGGAGAGCTGCCTCGAAGATTCCTCCTGGGGCCGCTCCAGAGCCCCCAGCTTTCGGGGACTGAACTCTGACCCCCATTCTTTCAGCATGAATTGGGTCTGCCTGAAGGCAGGGGCCAGGACAGCGGTGGGGGTGGGGTGTGGGCAGGGAATAGGGAAGTGAGGGGGGTTCCAGGGGGCCTGGCATGCCTCCAAGTAAGAATAGCAAAGCTCAACAGAAATGTCCCCGCAGAGATGCAGGTCAGTGGCCTGGGAGAGGTTGGCGACAGGAATCAGCTAAGGGGCCAGCCGAGGAACAAAGAAGTCTTGGAGAGAAGATGCAGGCCTGAGCTCCAGCCCCTGAGAGAACACCTCCACAGGCGCCCCAGTGCTGGGGAGACCTCTTGTGTGAGGCATGAGCAGAACAACTGGAGTCCTAGGTCCTCAAGGATGGTCACCTGCTCCAGTCCCTTACCTCTGTGGCCCAGAATGACTTTCTTTGTCCCCCTGCCTTCAGAGCCCAGACTCAGTTTGGTCCCCCACAACATGCACACATGTGCCCACACATACATACACACACACACACACACACACACACACACACACACACACACACACACAACTGCAGGCCACCTTTCCCCTTAAGTCTTCCCCCGGCCCCCACTGTTTTTGAGTGGCCTACTGAAGTGGTTCGCTGAAACCTCAGTCCTGCAGGATAACAGGATTGATAAGTTTAGAGAATGCCATACACTGTCTGCTCTGCTTCACGGCTCGTAGGTACATCAGCATCCTGCAGATGGTTCATTACCAACCACAGACCCCAGCATCTCTGGCTCTGACTGCCCACCTGCCCCAACAGAGAGAGGCCTTCAACCTCAAAGCGCACATATATCTATGAGCCGTTCCGCCTCTGTCCAGGCCCCAAGTCCATCTGACCTTCACTCCCTCCATCTTCTCTCCAGGCCCCAAGCTCCATCTGACCTTCACTTCCCTCCATCTTCTCTCCAGGCCTCCTGGCCCTCCAACTCCATACTTTCTCTTTTGAAAAAAAAAAAAAAAGATTTAATTAATTCATTTATTTGGTACGTTGGAGTGTATTGCTGGTGGAGGTCAAAAGACAACTTATCGTCAGCCACCTCATACTTTCCTACTTTTCTGTCTTTAGGCCTCAGGCAGCACATCCACCATGCTGTTCCTAAGGGTTAGTGTCCCAAAGATGCTAGAGATGAACATCCTCTTGGGTAAGCTGCAGCCAGCCCCAGTTCTGCTCTTTGGTTTCCCTGCAGCCTGCCTGGTAACCTGTGTGACTTCTCCATATACAGTTACTTATAGTATTCACAGAAGCTCCTTCTGAAGCTTTGTCAAGGAGTGCCCCATCTTGCAACCTATCCCTCGTTCTTTACAGAAACACCCATCATGTCCTTTGGGGAAAGGAGAAGACATAGACAGAACTCTCTACCGCATTTGTGGCCTTTCATCCTTGGTGTAAGACTTCTTAGGTCTTAGGTCTTTCTTCTTAGGTCTCGTGCCTCACCCCTTTCTGGTTCTGTAGACTAGCCGTACAGGAAAACACACAGTTCTGGTTTACATGATCACACCACTTGCACCCTCACTGCCTTCAGACCTGCTCTTCACACTCACCCTGGCTGGACCACACGCCTGCCATCGGGCACTGTGAACCCACATGGTAAGCACACTTTCCAGGTTCTCTGCAGTGGAAAAGGAGCCCGCAGCACAGGCCCCAGATCCTGACTGATCACTGTCCCGGGAGCTGCACCCAGATGCTGTTTCAGAGACCTGGGCAAAGGTTCATAAGCAAAAAGGTCAAGAAGCAGAAGCAACAGAGACAGGAGGCAAGCTCAGAGGGTTTAGGGAACTCTGCCTGTTTGCTTTTAGGCTCGGGCCAAGAGCTGGGTCTCATCTACCCAGCGGGGATCTTTCTCTGGATCCTGAGTCTGGGTCCACAGATGACCCACGGTGGAGTGTCTTTGTCGCTCTCTTGGTTTTGGTGTTCCCCAGTAGTCAGAGTAGCGATGGCAGCCTGCTTCCTTCCTGGACCCTGTCCTTGCTTTATGCCTGGACAATAGCACCACTGTCCTCCTGCTCTGACAAAGTCAACCTGGGGACAGACCCCTCTTAACTCCTTATGACCCATCTTACTTCTCCTTTCCTGTTTTTGGTGTGTGTGTGTGTGGTATATGTATATGTTCATGTATACTTGCACATGTGTGCACATGCACATGAAAGCTAGAGACTGATGTTAAGTATCCTCTTCAATGGCTCTCCATTTTATTTTATGGCAACTTGAACTTGGAGATAACCAACACAGCTAGACGGACTGGCCAGTAAGCACCAGGAATCCACCTCTGCAGCACCAGTAGTATTACAGGTATGCCCACCACGCCTGGATTTTTACATGGGTGCCGGGGATCTGAACTCAGGTCCTTGTGCTTGCTCACCAAGCACTTTACCCACAAAGCCACCACCCTGCCCATCTCTTGACCACGAGTCCTTCTGCTTTCTCTTTCTTTCCTTTCCCTTTAGTCGATGCAGTATCTCTGCTGCAAAACCTGCCCATGGCTGCTCTGCCTCATCCACAGCGCTGTCTTTACCGGCTTTTCCAGGGCTATAAACTATGGCACTGGCTCCAGCTTCCGCTCCTGTAGCCTCTAGCTCCATCCCTGTCTTTAATAGGTAATGCCTTGTGGCCAGAAGGGTTGAACAGAGGTGGGGGCCTACATTAGCTTCATGACATCCTCTGTTTGCATACCCAGGACAGGATAAATGCAGAGCCCCCTGTTCAAAGAATAAGAATTTCAAGATGGAGGGCTGAGGAACTGGCTCACATGGTAAAGCGTTGTCACACAAACATGAAGGTCTGAGTTCTGATGCCATGCATCCACATGAAGATCCAGGCATCATGGCGTGCAATGGGATCCCGGTGCTGGGGAGGCGGAGATGGGATCACTAGGGCCAGCATCTGGGCATGCTGGCCAGCTCGTCTTGCCGAACTGGTGAGCTCCTGATTCAGTGAGACCCTGTCGCAAAGAATAAGGTGAAGAGTGATAGAGGATGACCCCTGATGTTCACTTTTGACCTGTACACATACCTGCGCGTGCACACACCACACACATAAAGACATAGAAATAAAATATTTCAAGATGTCAATGCCAGAGCTGCTTTCCATTTTCCAATCCAGTTACCAAGTCCTTTTAAGCACATGACCCCCTACAATGGTACAGATGGCACATGGATCAAGCTGTCCCCACCCATGCCCCTTTTCAGCCAGTGATGGCCCCTCTTCACTCTCCTGTCCTCAGCTGGCTTCTCAGGGCCCCTGGGCAGACCAATCTCGGTCCCTTCCAGGGCAGGGCTCCTCTTCAGTTAGCACTCAGCACAAATCACTTCCAGGTCTTTGGGGAAAGCTTGCCCCACAGCACCTCTAGGCGGAGGGGCATTTGCATCTTCTGAAAATTGATCCACATAGGAGCCCCACCTGGCTGAGCCCGAGGCAATGAGGATGCATTGATCAACGTTGATCACCATACTCTAAATGGTCAATGCTCAGTAGTTAAGATGGGAATAATAAGAGCAGGCCCCAGAAGGACCCTGTGTGTTCAGAGAATGTAATCTGGTTAGGAAACAGAACTTTATAACACATACGTCATGCCGACAGCACTTTGAAGAATAAGAGAGATTTTTTTTTTTCCTTTTCCCAACGTAAGGAGAGAAAATGAACTTCAGGGAGAGAGCACAGCATGGTCAAAGGCTGAGATGGGGCCATGTGCAGCAAGTTCTAGGATCCTGAACTGGACAAATTGGCTGAGGTGTCTCGATGGTGAAACTGTGGAAAGAGGTGGCAATGAAATTTTGAGGTATGAAGGAAAAGCTGGAAGTGCACGATGAAACGTGTGTTCCTCCTTATGGAGACTCTGGCGAGAGGCATTGCTTTTCGGCTCGGCCCCTGTCAAAGCAAAGGCAGGGGCAGAGCGAGGCTTCCCCACTAAGCCTTCCCAGTTGGCCTGCAGCGAGCAAACCCGCAATTTTAGGCAAAGCGAACTGCTGCATTTCCCTGCGTTTTGCTTGTTCAATCCCTTCGACAGCTACCCTGTCTTAAGCCAACAACAAAGGGACCGTGATGGCCGGGGCTCCCTTCTAACTTAAGCAGAAGACCCGGGAGCCTTGGTTGCTAGCCTGAGTTTCGTGCGTCCATGACTGGCCGGGGTGGGGGTTGGGCCTTTCCCGCCACTGGTTCTAATTGGTCCTCAGAGTATGTTGCTAACTCAAAAGCCAGAGCAGAGGGGACCCCACGACCGGCTAGTGGCAATCAGAAAGTACGGCTAGGTGGGAAGAGAGTGGTTCCCATCCTGATGGCCTTAACTATTCACTGCATCCTTACAGAAAGGACAATTTTCAAACATAGCCCAAAGTAGAGAAATGAGGTCATGATCCCTGAATCCCCGCTACCTAGCTAGCTTCACACATCTCCTCCAGTCCACACATCTCCTCCAGTCCGACCTGGCTTCATTAAACCCTCTCCCACCACCCATTTTAAAACAGGACGTGGGCGGCGTGGCGGAGGAGGCACGGGGGAGAGCGGGTTCCAAACTGCATCCCTGGCGGCTGGGAAGATGGGGAATGGACGAGGGACACCGTAGGGCGGGGAGTTGGGCTCACCCCTCATGGGCCACCCCCGCCCCCGCCCCCGCTCCCGCTCGTGGGCCCTCCCCCCCCACACCCCACCTCCGGCTCCCGCGCGCAGGGCAGGGGCGGGACCTGAGGGCGGGGCCCCAGAAGGGCGGGCGTGGGGGGCGCTACCCTAGTGACTCAAGGCGCGTGCGGCTGGGCGCAGAACGCCAGTCTCTCCCCGAAGCGCCGTGTGCTACCGCTCCGCAGCAGAGGTCGGTGCCCGCCGCTGCCTTCGCGCCGCCGCTGCCGCCACCGCCGCCGCCGCCGCCATGCCCAACTTCGCCGGTACCTGGAAGATGCGCAGCAGCGAGAATTTCGACGAGCTCCTCAAGGCGCTGGGTAAGCTGGTGCGGAGGGCGTGCCGGGTCTGCCAGGAGCCGCTGCGAGGTGCCCCTGACCCAGAGAGGGTGGCCCGGGGAGGTTCAGGCAGGAGGGAGTCTGTGGAGTGATAAATCTCTCTGTTTCCCGTGCGTCCCCCGATCGCACAGGAGAGTTAGCTCCGGAACCAACCGGTTCAGCTAACGTTTGCTGGACATTTGGCGCCTTTCTCGACGGTTCCATCTTTATCTCGTGCTAGACCACAGTGAGGAAGGAGCAGGAACTTCAAACTGGGGACTGTTTGAGACCAGATCTTGCCATGAAAGCACTGGGTAGCTCGGAAAAGCCACTTGCCATCTCCCGAGCCTCAGTTTCTCTTCTCAAAAGCCCAGGCGAGGACAGAGACAAGTGGAACTAATTTAAGAGCCCTGCCCAAAGTCAGAGGATTTGGGAAGGGTCAAGCAGGTCTGGGGGACCAGGGAGGAAGGACCTGAGACCCGAGCCCGTGCTTCCTCGTGCAGGTGTGAACGCCATGCTGAGGAAGGTGGCCGTGGCGGCTGCGTCCAAGCCGCACGTGGAGATCCGCCAGGACGGGGATCAGTTCTATATCAAGACATCCACCACCGTGCGCACCACGGAGATCAACTTCAAGGTCGGAGAGGGCTTCGAGGAGGAGACAGTGGACGGACGCAAGTGCAGGGTGAGGCCGCAGAGACCGCACCTCCTTCCCGGGTACCCCTTCCAACCCTTGGCCCGCCGAAGCGGGCGCGCTTTCGTTGCTGAGTGTGTCACGAGAGATTTGTGTGCCCTGCTGGTCCTGGGCTCAGGAGAAAGCCCTACCTCTTGTTCCCTCCCTATACCATCCCCCGGGCGCAAATCGGCGCGCCTAAAGCGCGCGCTCTGGGTGGCTGTATGATCCCTGCTGTGGTTAGTGCCTTGCTAGCCGCGCCTTCAGCGCTAGCTCTGGTGGCGTGGGTAGAGGTTCCTGGGGCCGCTGCTGCCTTCTGTTCTGCGCAGCTGCCGAGTTACCTGTCCTAGGTAGGGTGGCTGATCCAGGGTCCCTCCCCCTGGGTCCCTGGACCGTGGCGGGGGGGACGCTTTGGATCCAGTTGCACAGTCCGAATCGCCTGCCACCCCTTCCTGCCTATCTGTGTTCAACCGAGTTCTTGCAGGGATTGGTGAAATTCTTCTGAAAGCAAAAGCAACTCAGCAGGTTCTAGCTGAGAAAATGTACTAAATGACCTTTTTTTTTAAAGTCCTCAGGGGCGAGAGACAGAAGGAGGTGGGTAGGGGGAGAAGGGAAGTGAGGAAGGGAGAGAGACTGGGGAGAGATTAAGATTGATTTATGAGAAGACAGGGCTTGCTATGTAGCCCCGACTAGGCTAGCCTGGAACTCTCAGTGTAAACCTGGTGACCTCGAACTCAAGATTCAGCCTCACCCCATGGAGTGATGGGATTACAGGTGTCCACCACCATATCCAACAGTCAAGAGAGGTTTTTTTGCATTTCTGAAACACGAGGCAAAGGATGGGTGAGTGGTCTGGAGTGAATGACTTCACACTGCTGTGTTTCTTTCTGTGCCAAACTTGCACCGATGAGAAAGCCAGCCTTGCTATCTCATTTAAAAAGGAGGTCCCCTTTTCTCCACTGTGGGTTTGGTGGTTGCTGTTTTGTGTACTTGGTTTTCTTGTTTGGGTGTTTGAGACAGGATCTCATGCTATAGCCCAAGTTGGGTCCAACTGCATGGATCCTGTTTCTACCAAGTGCTGGGATCACCAAGTAAACCTTTGTATCCAGCTTTTCCAATGTTCTAAAAAAAAATGTGCAGATGAGGCCAAGTGTTGTGGCCCATGCCCCTAATCCCAGTACTCAAAAGGCAGAGGCAGGCAGATCTCTTGTGAGCTCAAGGCTAGGCAGGCCTACCTAGTGAGAAAATTGTTTTTGTGTTGTGACAACATTCTAAAGAACGGGAAGTTATTTCTTCCCTCTCTCCCGAATCCGTACCTGTCCCAATTGTGACTCTGGTCACCATGTTTGGAAGGACAGAGAGACACAGCCCCCAGTAGCAGGCTCACTCAGGAGACAGTCTTTGCCCATCAGAATTGATATCTGCTTGACCTGAGGTTCAAGTCACCACATTGTTTGGGGGAAAAAAAAAGCCCCCCCCCGGGGGGGGGCATGCATGACTGGGAATATAGCCGTGGTAGAGCATGTGCCCAGCATGTGGTAGGCCCTGGGTTCCGTCCTCAGCATCACAGGAGGAAAAAACAGAGTGCTCAGAAGGAGGAATGGGCATCTAGTGGAGAAGTTGGCTTGGCCATGAGTAGGGCTCAGTTTGGAGACACCTAACTCTGGCCACTGCCAGAGGGGGCAATCTGATTTCAGAACAACAAAAGAATCGTGTAACACCCTGGAGAGAGCTGGGCTTACAAAGTCCCTGTCCCTCCCCCACCCCCGCCTAATGAAGGAGTCCCATGTGTTAGTTCAAAAGTGATTATGTGCACATTCAGCACCACCCAGCCCAGCTGTACCTCACTTCGCTGGATATAGACACTGGGGAAACCACAGGGACTCCCCCTTTTGCCTGTCCGCCTCCAACCCCATGAAGAGCCTTCACATTGGCTTGGTTTTTAAAATGTTTCTAGAAGGATGTAAGCTGGGAAATGGAAACTGTTTTTATCCCCAGAGACAGACACAGGTTCATTAGCGCAGGCTGTGTGCTGTGTCTGCTGAGGGATGCCGAGAAAGGAAGGTCTTAGTCCAGAATCTGGGCGCAGACCCTCCTCCTCATCTGCCCGCCACCCGCTCGGCTGCAAACACGATGTCTCAACAGTTATAACCGTTTGTGATTCTCACATGAAGGTACTTTAAAGTTCCAATTGTTTGGAGAGGCCCTCTGTGTTGATGTAAGTGAATCCTGGTGTGCTCTGAATTTTATTTCTAGAGATGCAAAGCGTGCCTAAGGCTTTGCTGCTCCAGTGGATCCATGTATGTGTGATATAAGGTATATTTGTACTCCGTGAAACCCGTGACCAGCACTCTGAGTTTCACTTTATGGGGCTCAGCAGAGAAGACGCTGTGCCCCGCTGACAAGGACCATGCATTGCTTTTCTGCCTAGCAATTATTCTCCGGTGTTCTTTGTGTTCTTCCCAGCCCGCTGCCGAGACCATAATTAATATCACTAATGGTTTTCCTGCCTGCAGAGTTTACCCACTTGGGAGAATGAGAATAAGATTCACTGCACACAAACCCTTCTGGAGGGGGATGGCCCCAAAACCTACTGGACCCGAGAGCTGGCCAACGATGAGCTGATCCTGGTAAGGGCCCTTGGACTCTTGAGACAACCCCAGGGTTCCCCAGGTGGTCCCCGGAGGTGGGCCATACAAGTGTGCTGTCCCCATGCTCACATTTTGAGAAAGTCACTTGCCACAGGTTAATTTGAGCAGAAAGCTTGGGCTGACAGTTTAGATCAGAGGAGATCATTGTTAAAGGGTTGCGGAGGGGTGGGGGTGGGGGACCGAGAGGGAAGGATCGTATCTGAGACCAGCTGGAATGCCAGACCTTGGTCCAAACTGTTCTATGCCAACCCCAGTGGCGAGTGATGCCCAATCTCCCTCTGGCTTGGTTTGGAATGCTGAGGCTCTGTGCGATCCTTCAGCTTATACAAAATGAGGTCCACCCCACCCTGCCCTTCTCATGACTCATCTTGCTATTAGAGAAAAGTTTCACCAATTTTTATCACATCAGCATTCAGAACCATAGAGAATATTTTTTAGTCCAGACTTACAAACTCCAATGGCCCCAGGAGCCAAGCAAGGAATGCTAATTTGGAAATATCTGAATGCACTGATGTGGAAAAGTGGACTCTTTAGGGCTAAAGAAGGCGAGCACTGTTTAAAAGTGTGTAGATGGAAAACTTTTTTTGTTTGTTTGGTTTTGGTTTTTTTTTATTTGTTTTGTTATTTTTGAGATAGGGTTTCTCTGGGTAACCCTGGCTGTCCTGGAACTCGCTCTATGGACCAGGCTGTCCTGCAACTCAGAGAGATCCTCCTGACTCTGCCTCCTGAGTGCTGGGATTAAAGGTGTACACCATCATGCTGTGCATTTAAGCATTTTAAATATCCACAGCCAAGCACAACTTACCTGTCCAGGTCAAGTTTTTATCTAACCCACTCCTGTAATGTAACATTCTGAAGACTGAGGCTGGAGGATCATGAGTTCCAAGCCAATGGGGGCTATAGAACAAGACCCTATCTCTACAAGAAAAACAAATGGTTTAACTTATTCACACCTATCCCAGTTTTATGCAGAGAAAAGGGGCTGAGAGGACAGACAACCCCCACTTACTTTCCCTCCGTGTTTCAGAACTAGTATCTCCTACCCTAGGCTAGAAAAAAGAAAAGCCCTTGTGGGTGACCAGGAACTTATACCTTTTGTTCTCCATTAGACACTCTGTTAGCATCACCACTGTTAGACTTCCTGATCCATTACCTAGACACTGAAGCCTGAAAAGTTTAGTGGGGAAAGATGCCCCATGTGACCGTGACTTGGACCTTCCCTGTCCTTTCCAACCTCCATCTTCCGGCTGTAAAATGAGAGATTGAGCTGCAGCCCCTGAGATTCCTTTCAGCCCTAAAATTACATGTTTAGCCTGTAAGAAGACCCTAAATTGAGCCGCCGGTTCCTTTGAGACCGTTTGATCTCCCCTCCCTCTCTTCTTGGCCTTTTGGCCTTTACTAGGATGATTTAACTAGCTCTTCTCTTTGCGTGGACAAAGGGCTGGTTTAATTTGCAACCTAGCTAATGTCTCCAGCAGAGGGCTACTTCGTGGACTCAGAGAGCAATCTGAAGCTGAGACTTGGAAATCCAGGGAGACTGGCACATGTAGCTTTATAGAGACCAGAGGCAGCAAGGAGAGATGATGTTAGAGTTCTTGAATCTTTCTGAGGATTAAGTGGGATTGATCAGTTTACCCTGAAAAAGTGGGATTTTGGTAACCTCTGTAATACTAAGCAGCCAGAGTCACAGGCTAAATGTCCGTGAAGGACTCCGCCACATTTCGCCCCTTACCACCCCCACACTGCAGTTCCTCCCAGGCATCCTTCCCTGGCTTGGAAAACATATATACAAGCCTCAAAGGGAGCATTAATTCTTGGCATTTGGGATGTGAAATGTGGGCTTTTGTTTCAAGGGTTATTATCGTTAATAAATCTAAAACGTTGGGAGATGTAATCTTCATGTAACGAGAGGTAAGTAACTTTAGTTTAGTTGAAATAAGTGTCCCCAGAGCCAACAGTAAATTGCCATGGGCTGTAAATTGACTTCCTTTGAAAACTAAGTATCCTCCCCCACACTGCTCTGGAGTATTCTATAGAGTTTCTTTCTGGAACCTCTAAGCATAAATGTATGCAATGAGAGGCTGGAAATGGGCTTTCAATTGGAGTTAGAAATGTGGGGATTTCTTTCCATGTCATGAAGCTATTTTTTTTCACCTGGGTGAGCTCCAAAGACAGATGTGGCTATGGAGCTCAAGGAATTCTGGGAAATCAGCATGGTTCTTGGGGTGCAACATCAAAAAAGTAGATTTATAATGGGAGCTCTATTCCCATCCCAATTCCTGACACATGCCCAAGAGCATAGAATCATCTGCATTCCTCACTAATGGGAAGGCACAAAGCCCTTAGACTGCCCACCTTGTCAGGATCTCCTTAATACTCATTATATGCAAGAAACTGTTTCTTGGAAGCAGGCGATGCCTTAGCAAATATCCCAAGGACATCTGGTCACTAAGGGCTCCAAGGGTAAGAATCTGAAATACATCCCATTCTTACATTGATTAAAATCAAACAATGGTAGAGCACTTGCCTAGTGTGGGTAAGACCATGGATTCTATCCCCAACATGGCAAGAGAAATGAATAGATTTAAAAAAAAAAAAAGAATCAAAAGATCTTGAGATAATTAAACTCTTAGCACAACAGTTTCAGCTTCTCTTGAATTGCCAGTCATTTGGGGACTCTGAAACGTCAGGACCTGTGACAGATAAGCATGCACATACATCCTCATCAAGGCTGCCAACTGGGGGCGGGGCAGTATCTTTGTGTTTTTTTGTTGTTGTTGTTTTTGGTTTTTCAAGACAGGCTTTCTCTGTGTAGTTTTGCGCCTTTCCTGGAACTCGCTTTGTAGCCCAGGCTGGCCTTGAACTCACAGAGATCCGTCTGCCTCTGCCTCCCGAGTGCTGAGATTAAAGGCGTGCGCCACCACTGCCCGGCGTATCTTTGTTTTTGGTTTGTTTGTCTTAATTTTTATTTTATGTGTCTGGGTGTTTTGCCTGAATATATTTCTTGGTACCTCATGTGTGCTGGTACCCATGGATGCCAGAGGAGGGTGTTGGATCCCCTGGAAATGGAGTTACAGACCCTTGTGAGCTGCCATATGGGTGCTGGGAATCAAACCCTGGTCTGAAAGAGTAGCCAGTGCTCTAAACTGCTGAGCCATCTTTGCAGCCCTTTTGTCCATGTGTTTTTCTGCACCTTTTGCTTTCCCTGTTGTGACTGTGAGAGTCCCAGGAGAGCAGGCCTGTGAGTAATTGGCAGTTTGGGGAGATTTGAGACAGCTTACTTCTACAGATGCTGCCATTTCAGGGACCAGAAGAAAAATGTCCCTTCCCATCTGTGGGAGGATTTATAGCCTCCCTCTAGCCAACAAAGACTCATAGAATCTTAGCTGGAAAGAACCTTCAGAATCACCTTGTTTAAAGTCACCCTCCCCCTCAACACCACCCCTCGCCCACCCCGAGCAGGCCAAGAGAGGGAGAGCCTTGCCCAGCTATGGGTCAAAGAGCTGGGTCAGAAGGCCAATGCTATGTTCTTGCCTCTGAGATGAATGTTTTAGTTTAGAGGTGATGTATTCTAGCTATCCCTCCACATCCATAGGAGATTTGTTACAGGACCCCTGCGGACACCGAAATTTTCAAATGCTCAAGTTCCCTGTATAAAATGGTGTAGCATTTGGCCTACATACAGCCTCCTGCATAATTCCTAGTTTACAATCATTCCACTTACAATTCCTGATACTATATGAATGCCATGCAAATGTGTCGTACTGTATTGTCTAGGGGATAAAAGCATGTGAAAAAAAGCTGTGTATGTTTAGGATGTATGCAGATTTTAAGTGAATATTATTAACCTGTTCTTGGTTGACTGTGAAGGTGTAGAATCCATATATACAGAGGCTGGCTGTCCTTACATTAGACTGTTGTTTCCTGGGCTAGATGGCTGCCTCCCAGAAGGCATTTCTAACTTATCTCCCAACTGCAGTTCCATCTGGCTCGAGCTGCCTAAACCCCTCACTCTCTTGCAATCACTTGAAAGGACACAGAAGCCCTTCAAAAATACCTGACATGACATTCATCTCCTTTCAGTCCCAAAAACTAAAGCCAGGAAGTGTGCATATCTTATGTCAGCATTCACAGGTTCTGGAAGCAAAGGAGACCTGTATTAACAGTTCTGTGCCGTATTGCTTCTTTGCTGAGCAAGAGCTTACTTAGGGGAGAATGTCTGCTCCATGTCCTGAGCGTTTAGCTTGAGCACACAGCTCAGGGAGCTTGAAGTCTGATGTGAAGAGTTGTAAACGGGGCAGCCCGCCATCTCGGTGATATGCTTTAAACATTTTCACACAGGCCTCTGTACTGATTGGTTTTCCTTTTCTTCTCCGGGCAGACATTTGGCGCCGATGATGTGGTATGCACAAGAATTTATGTCCGGGAGTAAAGGTGGCCGGCTTGTTCCTGCTTTCATGACAGGATGCAAGTTCCCCTGAGGAGTACAACATCGGCCTGCACAGCCAGTGGGTCTTTCCTCCCACACACCCTCCCCGTAAACATTAGGCAACCCCATTTCCCCTGTGATAGTGCTGTAGCGCCCTTCCCTCCAGCCCCTGTTCCCTCTGCATCCCTGGTTTGGCATTTGCATGGTTGTGCCAGTCATTAAAGTGGTTGGACGCATCTCAAGGCTCTTTTCTTTGAGGGGACTCTGCTTCTGTTTCAGCCTGGGAGTTAAAGCCGCACTGTGCTGACCTGTGTCGTGTTTCCGGCTTTGGCCTGCTGGCCTGGTGAGAGTGCACTGTAGCATCCATCAGCAGGTACAGCTAAACTAGTCATGAATGGTGGTTCCTCATAGGAAACTAGGCCCAATCCATGGCTTTATTGAGGAGAGCCATAAGGAAGGGACTGATTACATGGGTAGTGATAGGGCCAGGATGAGGAGATCGAGCAACGGAAGACGAGACCCTCAGATACTAATGATGGAGGGAGAGTCACTACTCTTAAGCCTCAAGTCGGAGGGAAGAGAGGTCAACACACCCTAGAGAGCTCTGCAGCCTGAGGGAGGGTTTCTGCAGGAGCAGTGGGGTTACAGAGAACATGGCTACTGTCAAAAAAAAAAAAAACAAACACGAGCAAAAGCCGGGTGTGGTGATGGCACACACCTGTAATCTCAGCACTCTGAGAACAGAGGCAGGAGGATGTCTGTGAGTTTAAGGCCAGTTTGGGCTACATAGTGGTTCCAGGACGGCCAGGGCTACATAGTCAGACGCTGGGGCAGTAGAAGACTTGGCTTTGAACGTGGACTAAGAATTCTGACTTCTCGGGTCTGGAGAGATGGCTCAGAGGTTAAGAGCACTGGCTGCTCTTCCAAAGGTCTTGAGTTCAGTTCCCAGCAACCACATGGTGGCTCACAACCATCTGTAATGAGATCTGGTGCCCTCTTCTGGCCTGCAGGGATACATGTAGGCAGAACACTGTATACATAATAAATAAATAAATCTTTAAAAAAAAAAAAAAAAAAAAAAGAATTCTGACTTCTCTTTGCCCCGGCCTATTCATTTTGTCCATTGCCCAATGCGACTGGATCAGTGATCAGGGCCGGGGAAAGGATCCCGTTTAGAGATACTCCTTCCCGGGCCACAGCCAAGCAGACAGTGGCCTCAGCAGGCAAATACAGACGATAACTTGGACACTTGCCAATGTTTACATTTGAAAATCAGTAAATTTCACCTTAAAAGCCTGGACTTGGGGACTGGGCAAGCAGCTCAGTTGGTAGAGTACTTGCCTAGCATGTGTGAAGCCCTGGGTTTAATACCCAGTGTGGTATAAACTGGGCACAGTGGGAAATGCCTGTAATGCCAGTACGGAGAGGGTGGGACAAAGAAGATCAAAAGTTAAAGGTCACCCTCAGCTACGCAGCAGGTTTGGAGGCCAGCCTGAGACAGATACATAAGACAGTCTTTTTTTAAAAAAAAAGGGAGACAAGAGAAGAAAAGGGAAATCCGGGTTTCTGTTTTCTTAAGAGAGAAGGCTGGAGAAACCTGGCATCCCCGGGCCTGCATCTCTTTGGCACAGTGGCTGGCTCGGCGGCAGCTTTGCTTGTACCCTCTGCCTCCCCGAGACCTTGTCTCGATGCTCATTTACCCAGCATGCTTCTCTTCCCATCCAAAGCCCACGGGCTCTCAGCAAGGCTGGGTCAGAGTGTTGGGGCCTGGAAAAGACCAGGAGTTCACACTGTGCTGGGGCAGACACCTAAGGCCCATGGGAGGACCATCTAAGTGTGAGTGGGGACACATTTACAGGAACCCTCACGCCTCCCCAGCCCAGAGCCCTGCTTTGTCCTAGAAGACTGCTTCTCCACAAACCATGTGCCCATCCTGAGCCCATCCCTGGCTTTCCCTAAAACACCGTTCCATACGGCCTCAATGCCATCAGGCGTTGTGGCAAGTGGGGCTGGGTTCCGGGTCAGGAGGAAGCCTGACACTGGGCTGCATTTCGTCTCTGGGGCCCTGAAGTGACTATGCTTGTTTTCAGAACCTCCGAAAGTCCCTAACACAAACGACTTCCCTTCCTGCTCTCCTCCATTGCACCTGGGACCAGAGAGTACAGGCGACATGCCGTCACCTCCACTCTGCTAACCTGTCTCTCCGGCCCTGTCCAAGTCCATACTCAGTGCCCCAAAGCATGGAGTAGAGTGATGCGGGGGACTGCGCTGGGACTTCTTGGGGGCGAGATGGGGAGACCCTTGAAGATGGAGAGGTCCCAGACTGATATGCAATGGATAGGAAGCATGCTCTCCTGAATGGGGATGAGCTGGCCACACAAGACACACTGAGACTCGTGTGCCTGAATCCTTTGAGGATTCTACCCACTGGGTGCTAGCTGCTCGTGGCCAACATGGAGGGGCTGAGCCTGGTCTCAGACACTGGTCTCTTCCTCTTCCTGGCTCCCGCTTCTGCGCTGTCTTCGATACATCTGGATTTGCTCCATAAGGGCTGAACTGGCTGCAGAAAGGTTGGAAAGGGCCACCTATTCCTCACTCTGGGAATCAGGCTATTTCCATTATAATCCTTTACAAGTGTGACATGTCACATGGAGCCTGTGCTTCCTTCAGATTAACCTTCGGGGGGTGGGGTGGGGGGGGTGGAGACGAAGAATAAAGCAGAGTGAAGGAGATTGTAGCCCTCACTGGCTTGACAGTCACCAGGCATAGGTAGGGACATTTGAATGACAAGATGAGGTAATAGCACCAAGTAGATCACACAGAGCACCTGCCATAGACTGAGTCTCTTGAATAGTATTGGTTTTACCATATAATTGGTTTCACATTTTCCAGACAAAGGTACAATGTTTCTCATTCCCTTATGGAACAGCTCTCATTAGGTGTGTCCTCTAGGGACGTAGGCTCAGGGGTGTCATATTTCCCCAGTCTCCACTCTTAAAGAAACAGGAACCCGGATTTCTTTTTCTTCTCTTGTTTTTCTTTTTCTTTTTTTTCTTTTTTTTGGTTTTTTGAGACAGGGTTTTTCTGTGTAGCTTTGGTGCCTGTCCTGGATCTTGCTCTGTAGACCAGGCTGGCCTCGAACTCACAGAGATCTGCCTGCCTCTGCCTCCCGAGTGCTGGGATTAAAGGTGTGCGCCACCGCCGCCGCCACCACCACCCGGCTCTTTTTCTTTTTTGAGACTGTGACAGATGGTATAAATGCACTGCATATGATATATAATATTTATGTGTATTTTCTATTGTTATGATAAAACATCATGACCAAGGCAACTTATAAAATGAAGCATTTAATTGGGCTTATGTTTTCAGAGGGTCAGAGTCCATGATGGTAGAGCAAAGGCATGATGGCAGGAACAGCTGAGAGCTCACATCTCAAACGGCAGATAGGAGGCCAAGAGGCAGTCAGGGAATGGCATGAGCTTTTGAAATCTCAAAACCCACCCCCAGTGACACACCTCCGTTTCAGGATATTTGATGGCACTGAGAAACTCTGAGACTGTGTTGATAAAATTAACCTTGGATCAGGGGGCAGAGCCAGAGACTAGCTGACAGGAATTAGCCATAGAGAGGATGGAGGAGCCAGGAGTATGGATAGAGAGACACAGGAAGGAGTAGGGAGGGACTTAGAGATTCGCAGTTTTTTTGGTTTGAAACAAGTGGAGAGATGCTTCTCTTCTGGGTCTCCAGCCAAAAAGGAAGGTCAGCTGGTTGCTTTTCAGTGTCTGATCTAGCAGGTTTTCACCCCAACATCTGACTCCCCAGTCTTCATTGGTAACTAGAACAATAGAAACTTAGTTAAAACCTACATTTGGAGGCCGTGGCCAAGCTGGTGCATGTGGGACTGGAAATCCCTGCTAGGTCATAGTCTGAGTGGCCAGGGTGTTGACTTCAAGGCATGGAGCACAGACAGTAGTTAAAATATCAGTAGATTTAGGTGTAGCCAATAAGCCAACAGAAAAACAACACACCTCCTAATCCTTCCTAAATAGTTCCACCCACTAAAGACCAAATATGCAAACGTACAAGCCTGTGGTGGCCATTCGCATTCAAACCACTACAAGACACAAGATTAAATCTTTATTATTGTTGGGGGGAGCGTGAATGCCATGTAGAGGTCTGAAGAGGACAACTTTCAGGATCTGGTTCTCTCCTTCCACCCTTACCAGGGTTCCGTGGGTTGAACCCAGGTCTCCAGGCTTGCACAGCTTCACCCACTGAGCCCGCCCACGAGATATTTTAATCTAAGTCAAAATATTGTTGTGAGAATAATCTCCCTAAACTTGTCGTTCTAAACTCACTCCAAACTTGCCTCTCTCTTGCTCAGCAATCTCCAGGGTCTCTAGCAGGAAGGTCAGACTCTTTGGTGTGGCATCCAAAGCCCTTCATGATATGGCTTCACCAGATAAAATAGAGGAACAGGTCTATGAGATTTGACTTTAAATTCTGGGCACACTTTCAATTGACAAGTGCTAGAAACCCAGCCACAGCCAGTGCCAGTAAAAAGAAGCTGCTCTGCTTATGACATGAATGAACAAAGAACATAGTACACTGAGTGTAAGGAGCGGCTCACAAAGGACCAGGATTATAGGATTCCATTTAAACTGAAGTGTCTAAATTGGGCAGATCCATGGAGGCGCAAAGTACATGGTGGTTGCCTAAGACTAGAGCTGTTGGGGGTGGGGAAGGGGAGTGATGGGTCTAGCTTCTTCTTGGGAATGATAAACATGTTTTAAAACCAATGTGGTAATGGTCGCGTAATTCTATACACTAAAAACCACTGAACTGTACACTTTAAATGAGTGATTGGGCTACGGCCATACCACCCTGAACACGCCTGTTCTGAATGAGTGATTGCACACTATGTGAACTATAGTCCATACAGTTGTTGGGTTTTTCTAAAGGAATGCACTGACTTCTCAGCTCGTGAACAATGCAGAAACTCTCTGCAAAGAAACAAGAGCCGTAAGAATGGATGGGGCTTTTAACAAGCCAAGCTCACGGTCCCCTGAAACTCCTCTGTCAATCCACATGATCCACCTACTTGACTTCCTTAAGCAGCTGGTCTAGGTCATGTGAATACCCTTGTGCTAATCACAACTAATGAGTAAATAGGGTACAACAGTTGGCCAGATGTTAGTCACGTGACTTTATCTCTAACCAGATTATGGTAAAGGAT